ATGTGTTTCCTAATAAAACGTAAGGTTAAGAGATTCAAGTATGTTTTAAAAGTATTTAACATTTTAATTTAATATTTTCATTGTGATATTGTGATAACATCGTGCATCGCAACTATTTTTGGCTGCAAGATAATCGTGACAAGCCCAGTTTCAGGTGGAAAACAGTTTAATACAGCAGGACTTTTGCATGATCCTGCACATGTAACTAACTATTATTCAAACAAGATGTAATGCAGAGCAGCATGACAGCACAAAGCCAACACCAACTCACAATAACTATCACTACTACACTACAGACTCAAATGGAAGTGACATAACTGTATATATATATAATACAAATTCAATTATTATTCAATTAATTACATAAACGAAATCATTAAATACAATCACTCATCAATAACCAATAACTCCAAATCTTGGCTCCCAAACAATGAGACGATTTAGACCCAAAGGAAAGTGAGTTTGCAGGAATGTATTCTTTAATAACACACAAATAAACTCTTTTACTCCATTAACAAATGAACCCTACTGCCTAACACTGAGCTGACTACAGGCTGCCGAGCTCACCTTTAACACAAGTCAATACATGTGCACATGAACGAGCACTGACATTCATCGTTTTTAATCTGTGTTTTACATTGTCCCTGGATCAGATGTTTGTTGTCAGATCCAGTCTCCTTCAAGCCTTCCTGCTAACCACCATCCGCTCCCAGTTCACTCCGTTTACACTCACTGGTGCTGCTTTCAGTCGACCCGTGAACTCTACACTGGGTTAAAACGAGCAGGGCGCTGTTGAAGTGGCAGTATAATAAAGAAATGATTTGTTTTTACCGTCTTTTGTTGGCTTCACTTTAACCTTCCTTCGCTTCCACGCGTGGCGCTTTACGGCTGAACACAACACGGCCGTAGAAAGATTGGTTGTGTCGTGAAGAGACCTGTGCTGTAAGGGTGCATTACCGCCGCCTACTGGATTAAAGGAGGAGATATTCAGTAAAACACTACTAAAACCACAACTAAACCCCAAATGTATCTGCATTTTCCATTTTGTCTCATCAAGAAGATTTTCTAATGTAACACTGTCTTAATTTCTTCATTCATTTGTTCTTTTCTACTGAAGCGTATTGCATTCACTTGAAAAAAAAATAAAAAACTTTTTTTTTCTGAGTAATTTATTTTTTGGTTTGTTTTTTGGAATATTTTTTTCTGTTTTTCTGACTCTTTTTCCCCCCTGTTTTACTGAGTAATTTTTTCTGTTTTTCAGAGTAATTTTTTTTCTCTGAATTATCGAGATACTTCTCCTCCAACCTGCAAGTGACTCCCATGGACATTTCTATGTCTAGCAGATCTGAATGTGCTTTCCTTCTGAACAACAAGTCCTCAGGTGCCTGTGTAGAGTCGACAAACTAATGACAATACCATCTATATGACTTAAAGACAGGACTATCTCCCAGTGTCTTAAACCCAGCTCAAAGTAAAACTTGATTGAACTAATCAACTAATTAAATTGAGCTCTCAATAAAGGAATTAATGCATCTATTGTTTCAAATGCCCTCTAAACTCAGAAAAAAGATTAGTCAGAAAAACAGAAAAAAAAAATATTCAGAAAATCAGAAAAAAAATTACTCCGAAAAACCAACCATAAAAATAAATTACTCTGAAAAACAGAAAAACAAATAACTCAGAAAAACACAAATAATTACTCAGAAAAACAAACCAAAAAATTAATTTTCAAGTGAATGCAATACGCTTCCGTACTTGCTGCTCTATACTTTATTCCAACAGCACATGTTGATTCGATTCTGGTTAATCACAGGGTGTGTACACTCCTGTTTTTATAATGTGTGGCCACCTAAAACAGGTAATAATGTTCTCCCGGCCTCCGGTCTACTCCCCTGTTCTGTACCAACATGCTCATGTTATGTGTGTAGTTATGTCACCGTTGTCCTACTCTGAAAGCACTTTTTAACCTCAGCTGTACTTAGTGGGACTGTAAGTAGATTATATGCACTTTGCATGACTGTTTGGCTCACATATTTAACCCTTTATGTCCTTCAACACCTACAGCAAACATTCAAACCTTCCTTATGTATAATATATGAAAGGTTTCAAAATAAAATGTATTGTGTACATAATGATTTTCCAGACAATACAAACTATCAGAACCAGGTTACTATATTATCTGTGTGGCCGTGAAGAGTTTTTGAGGAATTTCATTTGTATTTGTATCAAAGCTTTTCTCTTTTTCTTTACAACTCACTTTAATTGTTCATTTTAATCTTTTGTGTAAATCTGTCTACATTTATACATTTGGATGTTTTGTGTTTTTTTTTTGTTTTTTTTTTTACCACAAATGCACCTATTTATGTATATTTTCAACACATATTAATGACAATATATTTTTGTTGAAAAGCAGCCTAAAGCAACTCAAAATGACACTCTCACTAATATTTTGTACATTTTCACATTCTCATGACTTCATCCAGCTTCAGTAAGAGACGTAAATATTTAACAAATGATTTCTGTTACTGTGCAGTTATTAAATGTGTGTTTGACAGACAACTTACCAGCTGTCATTTGCTTTCCTCCGACGCAGTACAATAAATAAACAGTCGGTGCTTTGGTGCAACATCAGATTGTGTTTATTTAATTTTTCCCCAAAGGTCCACAATTTGTCTTTCACAGTCCTGCATGTACAACCCCACACAGGGCAGGGCTTTAACAGTGACAGGAAATACACAAACAATATAATAACACTTAAATATTGCTATCTATATACTCTAAAACCTTTTTCAAATAAGGACAGGACCACCTGTGGTCTTAATGGGACATATCCATTAACACTCACACTCCGTCCATGGTACATTCGTGTGTTTTCTCACAGGCAGGCAGGCAGAAACAAGTGATAAGTGCAGACCAAACAAAGCACTGCCAAGTTATATAAGCAGCTAAATCCATAAAGCTACTCTGAGATGAAAAAGGTTCCCAAGTCGATTCCTTGCAGATTAAACCTGGTAGAAAACCTTTTTAAACTGAAGCACAGAGGTGATACAAAGCTAGGAAACAATTCAGCCTAGTGAGTATGATTAAGAAGAGCTTATCGGCATCGATATTTGAAGTGTTTGGCTCCAAAAGTGAAACTGACTTTTGATAGATGATTAGTAAAACATAAACAGAGTAAAATATAAAAAAATAAGATAAATACAGTCCTTGAATCACAGATTGATAAAAACAGGATACCCTTAAAAATACTGAATGATAAACTTGTCAAAGCGTTTATTTCCAAAAATGGTTATGTGATGTTTTGGAGTCAAACTCTTCTTTAGTTACATCCAACATAAAAGGCCTTCTGGTAGGTGATTTATTTTGGTTGTACCACAGACTTTAGTAAGCACATAAAGTAAACTCATTCATAGCAACAGATGATCAATCGCAAAAAAACCCCAAAAAACAAGGAAGATAAATACGATAAATTCAGATAAAGTGCACAAGTGCTCATTCAAAAAACAAATACATTCATCAGGCGTCCATTCATTCTCACACATACACACATACACATTCAAGTGGGCCAGACAGCCAGTAACACGTGTATGTCAAACACTGATCCAGAACCAGCCAGTGAGAGAGTTCTGACAATGACCAGTGAGCAGCAGCCAGTTTAAAGGTGGAAGTCAAGTGTTCAATGTCTGGTGGATGAATTCCTACCAGCGGAAAATATTTACAGCTTCGGTGACCAGTCTAAAAACAAGATCACAAATTACAGCTCTAATAATCAAAAACTCTCTGGTTCCACGGTTTTTCTATCATATATGTTAATAAACTGATGGACTGTTAAGAAATCAAGCAAATTTAATAAGTCACATTAGGCCCTGGAGAATTTTTACGGATACTTTTCAATATTTTCTTTTCTGTTTTATTCGGACATTAGCTTTTTCTTTTATTTTATTTCACAGTTACTGAAATTAAACCATCTAAAAAATAAATGGTAAAATGTGTGAACTGCTAACAACTTATAGACAGAAAAATTAAGGTTCTAAATCAGAAACGATGAATTAAGAAAATAACTGGCAGATTAATAAATAATGAAAATAGTTGTTAGTTATAGCCCCAGCACAAATCCATACACACATTAATACTGTTATGGTTACCAGTATCTTGGTATTAATGTACTGTATATTTTGTGTGTACTCCTCTTAACATATTAACATAGTCTTAAGTTAATAAATCTGAAGTTACATTACTGTTTTAAAGGTTAACATGTGTTTGTGTGTGTTACTGTGTTATATAATCAGTGGTGTAGTGACAAATACAGAGGTGGGTAAACTGTAGTTGTTTCCCATCACTGATTAATACAGTTGTGAAAATCAATGAGTAACCTCTCAGCTCTCTCAGTTTACTTGGGTTTACCCCCTACTACGACCCTGCATATAAGGTTTAAGAACAGTTACCTATTTAGCTAAAATCACAGAAAACCAGCAGGACTTCTGGTTACTGCAGTTCTGAGATTAACATTATATACACATAAATTTATACTTGTTAAAGTTGAAATGATAAATGTGTGTTTGATGTAAATCTCAGTGCAAAACAGTGAGACAAACTTGGTCTGCCCAGAGTGTGAAAAAGCTCCTACACTGTATAAAATGGCTTCTCTCAGTGCATTTCACCGCAGTGTCTTCTGGCCACGTCATTGTCAGATCTCAATCACTTATTTCTGGAATTCGAAAACTAATTCGGACTGTTTTTGTCCCCATGTCCATCCTCCCAGTCCTCCTCCTCTGTGCAGAGATTCAAGTGCAGCTTCATCCCCTAAAGTAAACTTTAACTTTCACTAGTGTAACAGAAACAAACTGCCCTTTTAAACCTTTCACACAAGGCGTGGCTCATGCAGACTCGTGCACACAGCAAATAATACAATTTCAAGGTCATCTGAATATAAATAGAGGAAAAGAAGAAAATAAAGCCACAATAGTTGAGTACAAAGTCCACATTCATTCACACATTGTTATAAACATCCCCTTCAACCTCAGGAGACATCTGTTTTACCAACAATCCTTCTCCTTCTGCTGTGCTTGGTGACATTTCACCTTATTTCATAATTTCAATTTTGCAATATTTCTTGTGGTAAATTTGTACTTTTTTTTTCTCTTTTCTTTTTTTTTTTGCTTAAGTAGCCAAGGCATTTTGCACCAAGGAGTAAACATAAATCATCATCTTATAAATCTCAGAGGTAGAACCCTGACAATTTACTCAGTGAGGAGATTGACAGGTAGATAGATAAGACAGACAGACAAAAGTAAACAAACGCTGTCTGTGTTTAAGACGGTGTCTGTGAGTCGCAGAAGCAGCAAACGAGAAATGACAAAAGGAAAAAAAAACAGCAATGAAGTAAAGGAAAGCTCAAACGAAACTTTTGGGGGATTGGTTAGTTTTTTTTGTGCAAATCTGAGAGCTGCTGTTCTTTCAGACGTAGAGGATGACATTGCTGTCTGCGGGACAGTGAAGGCCTTCGGGGGGGTTCAGGGCTCGGCAGGAGGGGGGCTGGGGCTGCTGGCCGGCGGCCAGGTGACAGCTTTTCGGGTGAGGAGAGTCACAGTCGTCCGACGTCAGCTCTGCGATGTCGTCTGATTGAGTGTCTGACATCTCCAGGTCACTGCGGATGCTCTCCGGTTGAGCCAGGGTCACATCTCGGAGCCCCTCCCTGATTGACGCTCCCGGTGACAGCCCCAGTGCTGAGCCAGACAAAGCCCCGCCCCTTCTGGAGCTGCAGTCCTGAGGCTCCTCCCCTCCTGAGACAGTTGCCATAGCAGCAGAGCCTGGGGGCGGGGTTAGGTCCTCTTCGCTGGTCAGGCAGAGATGGCTGGGTTTGGTCTCGATGTCCACCTGGATCTCCAGGTTGGTGCACTCCCTGCAGAGACACCATTTACAACAAGTCAGTCGAAGTTTGATGCTTCTGATGCTGAACAGACTCTAACGGCCTGGACACACAGTAGCTTCCACACAGAGAGCATTTCTGCTGCTGAGCTGTTGCAAGCTCTATCTTTCTACATTGAGTTTGCCTCTGATAAATACACTACGATAAAAGCCCTGTGCACAGAAATGCTACAGAGCTTTTACAGTTGACTGTAATATAAGGAACCCGGAAACAACCTCAGACACCATCCTGATGAAGGCAAGGTAGCTGAAACACTGAACAAAGTGTTGTACTGGAGAATAGTTATGTAGCATATTTTAACTGATGGACTCAAATCTGCTGAAATAATTACGCAACCATTCAGAGGAACCCTTCGGTTAACAGGAATATCAACAAGAGAAGGAACACAGCTTTCCTTTTATGGCGGCGACATGCACACACACACGTTGCTCTGCTTTGATGTTGTGATATGGTTTATATGCTGTACCTGCGTAGTAAGGCTGCCACGTATATGTAGAGAGGGATTTTAGGCGTTGCAGCAAAGACAACAACATGAGATAATAGCAGAAATCTGACGAGTCATCAGATTAGCTGTAATTCTGTTATCTCAGTCACATCACATCCAAATCAGATCTGACAGAGCGACAGACGAAGCCTCGGCCTGACAGACAGGAGAGGAGAGGAGAGGAGAGGAGAGGAGAGGAGAGGGGAGGGGAGGAGAGGAGAGGACAGGCTTTCCCTCTCACCTGTCAGGTAGTGTGTAGGACGAGATGATGGATCCGGCCATTCCGCGGGTGCTGGCACAGTCGCTCCCTGCTCCCAGACTGCCCGTCTCCCTCTGGGCTGACTCTTTAGCCAGCTCCCCTGCCTGCACCTCCAGCCTAAAAGGAAAACAAACAATATAATGCTGTTGTACCAATACATGAAATGATTACCTCTGCAAATGGAGGCCATGTTTTCACCAACAAGTTTATGAACAAATGTTCATGCAATTTGCTAAAGGCATGTTCGCAGGGTTGAGAAATCAACTTCAAATTGAGCTTGAATGTTCAGTTTCAACTTTGGAAACAGTAGTTGACAAAACAATCTCACCACAAAGTCTGTTTAATAGCTGTTCTGGGGCTTGTGGTGACATTGTTTTTGTCAACTATTGTTTTCAAGGTCAAAAATGTACTTTTAATCTCAACTTTTACTTTAACTTGTAACGTGGATGAGAAGTCCTTATAGGGCTCCATCTCTATTTGCTGAGGAAGACCGTGTGATACGAATGAAAGCTCCACAGCAGATACTAAATGGATATTGTGGTGTGATTGTTCTGTCAACAACCTACAGTTTAATGTAAAGGAATGATGTCTTTGGATGAAATAGCAGGCTGGATAATTCAAGCCTTTAAGTTATTAACATTTAAAGATATTAACATTTTGGAGAGAAAAATACAGTATATGTTTAGTTTTTAGTTCTTAAAGTAAGTAAAAAATATCTCAGTATGGAAGAAATCAAAATTAATTTCCTTAAGAATAACTTATTTATAGGATATAAGTAGTAATCGACTTCAATTTGAGATTCTCCTCACCTGCTGTACTTGCTGGTGCGGGTTCCCAGGGCGCCGCCTGCCAGAGTGTTAAAGTGGGGTGTGTCACCCAGAGTCCCAGGGGCCACAGAGAGACCCTCGCTGGGGGACGTGGTACTCAGACCACTGACTGCCCCGTCCAGACTGCTCTCACCGAGGCTCGGGGACTTAAGGGCTCGCCACGCGTCGGCCACTAGAGAATTAGACGGAGAGTATTGTTTATTGTGGATGTGAAAAGCTGTCATTTGAAGATCTGGTGACTACCATCCTGCTCCTGTTGGTTTCAGTTTGGCGTCCTCACCTGTGATTGGACCATCGTCCTCATCAAAGTCAATCCGTACACCTCGTCCCTTCCCTCTGCTGACACCACAACCTCCACCTCGACACAGAGAAATGGGCACCACGCCGTACACGTAGGCCAACATGATGGGCACACCGATACCTGAAAAGGGACAGAAGCAGAAATTGTTTCATCCCTGTTTGGTTTGAATGGGAGCTTTTAACTGTGATTAATATATTCGTGAACTTAATATAGTTAATAAAAACTAAACTAAAAACTATTTCAGTTAACTGAAATGAAAATAAGAACTGGACTTTAGAAATAAATTAAAACTAACTGAAAGGACACAGTGTACTTACAAAAACAAATACTGAAACTAATAATAACGAATCTAAAACACTTTTAAACACTTTTAAACAATAAAAACTAAACTGAAATGACCAAACACACTCTGGAAACTGACTGAAACTAAACTTAAGTTAAAAACTAAAACTAAAAGTAAAACTAAAAGTAAAAGTAAGGAAAAATACCAAACTATGATCATTTTGTTCAGAGGAGACGTTGGAGAAAAAAGTGGAGAATCATTGTGAAAGAAGAAGTAGATTCATTGCGTCCTTTCATAATTTTCTGGTGAATTTCTGCTCTGGCATGCATTGCCTGACATAAAGAGGAGTACTGTATGATCCCAAAAAAGTTCAAGAATGAAGTAACAAAGAAAGCAAGAAAGAGAAGAAGAGACAAAACAACAGCAAGAGAGTTCATATACAATTTTATATTTGCGAAATAGTGATTCACGTCTCCATCTCTATCATATATCATATTTGTCTGGTTGTAGTTGTTCATTATATAACAGAATAAATCTAAAACGTGGGGTATTTTTCATTCCGTAAAAAAGCTCGTCCCCTGTCCTAGGTGGGGCCCAGCAGTGTGCGATAAACAAACTGTACTCTGTTTGCTTTTGAGAGATTCACAGTAGCATAACAGACGACAGCGTTGAGTTTCTTACCGACGCTGACAGCCGCGATGACCGGGGCGGTGATGATCGACAGGGCCACGCCTCCTGTGATGGCGAGGTTCCTTCTGTGGCGAGACGACTTCTTCAGCTCGTAGTGGGCGTGGATCTGCGGCAGAGGAGATGGAAAGAGACGCTCAACACACACCTCAAACACTTCAGAGCTTAACCTGAATACGGCTAAAGGCGGGGATCAGACGATTGGTGAATTTAAAATGGTGAAAACATAAACAGAGAAACCACTCATGTGTCACCGGTAGATGATTCACTTCAGCACTCTGTGGTAACTAATAGACAAACAGTCATGTTGAGTAAGTAAATATCCATGAAACACTGTAGACCCATTGTAACGGATGTTCAATGGGTACAGTGTGTTGGTTTCAGGTTTTCTGATGAACAGTTCTGTATTCATCCACCATGCAACTGTTGCAAACAGAAAATACAAATAAATGTATTCTTCTAAAAAGAAAAATGCATGTTTTGGTCTTGGCCATCTTCAGACTCTATCAAGGCTGTAGCCAGGATTTTAGAAGACCAAATTCCTCCCCGAAAGAGCTTTTTATTAAAATGTTTCCAAAATTACGTGCTGTTCCTCCACACTGCCAGGAATGTAACTTGTAAAAATGGTAAATCCCACTCTATTTTAGGCAAATTAAAGTATATAAAACCATCCTAAAAAACATCATGTGTAATCTGTGTGTATTTGTAGAATGTAAACTCCTCCTGAGGTTGTTAAAATCCTTAAATTCTCAGAAACAACACCAAGGACATGACCTCTACGCGTCTGCAGCGTTGGTCCCAGACTCTGTGTAAATACTGGTTAGTGGTGCCAGTTTCTCACCAGAAACAAACATACAAAGCTACAAATACTCACTAAAACTAACACTAACACAACAAAAAAAATCACATAGTAAAAAACAGCATGATACTACAGAAAGCTTTTCCTGCAAGATTCTTTTTAGAGAACAACATCTGTGTCAGAACTTGTCATAGAGAAACAAGGCTGCTTCACTTTTATCACTACCTAAATTAGCACTGAAACATTTCCTGAAAAGATTCAATCAGTAATTTCTCAACTAAGACGGCCTAAGCTCAACCGCTCTGGCAGGTTTTAACACGAAGGAGGCGGACACAGTGTGTGGGTGAGCTGCTGTAATCTAACTAGTTAACCGCTTTCAACACAGTATGAACAGATCTTTAAAAAGGCTAAAATGTGCTGTTTCACTGTTCGCCACAAGAGAGCACTGCAGACTTGCTTCCTCCTGTAGTTGTTATGTAGTTATGAGACCATTGCCTTTTTAGCACATGTTAATAATACACCTTCATAAACAGCAAAAACATGAAAAAGCCATGATACGATCATATTTAAGGAGAAAAAAAGGGAATTCAGAATATGTACAGGTTTTAGAAAGCCCACATTATGACATTTAAAGACTTTAGGCCAATAAAAGGCAGAGAAACTAAAGCGGTTTCCAGTAGAGGATGTACAGCTGTGAAGTAAAAGTGGAACGGGAAATTCTATTTCTGGTCCCATTCACTGCTTGTGAATCATTTATTGTATTTCAGATCTTGAAATTCCAGCATTACTCAATCTAAAATATCTTTCTTCATAAGACTTATGTAAAAATGATTGAGGTATTCATTAAATTTAGATAATTATAGTTGTTTTAAGGACTCTGATGTTACCAAACGGCTGTGCTATCCATCATTCTTAGGTCAGTGACATTGTTGACGTGAATGAAAACTGTCAAAAGGAACTGAAAGTACTTTTCTAGAAAACTTTTAGCGTTGTGTTCAAAATGAAGGCAGCATACTGAAACTTAGAAAAAGTTTTCGTTCTGCAATGTTGTAAATTCCGGATAATCACCAGAGGAAGACTGTGAAAGAATGACTGTGGTATTGCTGTAAAGTATTTGTGTTTGTTGCCACAGCTCTGTGGTTTTCCACTTCTGGTTTCTGTAGCAGTGTGTGGACTAAGATAAACGCTAAGTGCACTGACCATAAAGAGTAAAAAAAGCGTTGCTGAGTGTGAAATACTAAAGATGACAGGAAACGTTTATCTGGTTAGCGAGCACTTCTGATGTTTATGGAGTTGTATTAATATGAAACAGTTTATGAAGTTTCATGATGCTTATCAGTCCCTCTTAAAAAGTCTCTGTAAACTGTCCTTTTATATAACTGTCTTTCTGTACCTTGTTCTCAATAATAAAAAGATAGTTGAAAAAAGTCTTCTCATGTCTCTTATTTCAAATTTCTTTTTCACAGCTTTTCATTCATATCCAGATTTAGTTTAGTCCGCAATTTGTGATCATTAAAAACAAAAAAATCTTGTCCCTTAAATTAATAAAAAATCAAGATAAAAAATAACTATTTCTGGCTTTTTCTCTCGCTCCAGTTATATCTTGAAACCTTGGCCCGATCATTCAAAGATCAAAGCACTGAACTCTTTACTTGAGGTTCATTGATTTAGTAGTTAGTTTACTTCCTCTACTGTTTCTCACCTTGCGGCCAACGTAAACGGGGATGCCGATGACCATGGCGGGAACAGCGATGCCTGCGATGAGGGTGATGCCAACTGGAGCTCCGATCAGGGTTCCCAGCTGCCACAAAATCTTCTTCTTCCTGCTCCAAGGTTTCTTCCCCCAGAACGTACAGCCAGATGGACTGAGGGAGGGAAACACAGAGGGAGAGAAGAAGAGAGGGAAAGATGAAGGAGGTTTACAGTTGCACATCTGAAAAATCAAAAGAAGTCAAACAAACAGCTGATATACGAAGTGAAATAATACATTTCAGTACCTGAGGTAGTGCAGGTCGGAGATCTCCTTCATGCAGAGCCAGCAGAACTCACAGCCGCAGACGGCGCAGGTCATGTGATTGCAGCTCCCATCATTCATCTTGATGATGTAAGCGCCGCAGCGAGGGCAGGGCTTGATGTCATCAGCTGGGGACAGAGGGAAGACGAGTTTAGTGTCATCGCTCGTATCAAGACATAAATGGTTCGAACTAAGTTTTTCTTTAATTTCCTTTTGTTGCATCGAGTTGTAAAAGGAATATTTTGACATACTGGGAAATATGCTTGTTCGCTTTCTTAACGTGAGTTAGATGAGAAGATTGACACCACTCACGTGTTTGTACAGTAAATGTGAATTTGGAACAGCAGCCCGGTTAGCTTAGCTTAGGTGGAGGTCTATGCTAAGTGACAACAACACTCCAGGAAGTTACTGAGCCAACAAATAGTCTGGCATCGTAAAATCACAAACTTTTAGTTTATTACACTTGAGATTTTGGACAGAGTAAACAAATGAGATATAACGGGTTAATTAGCTTAGCATGAAGACTGGAAGCAGGGGGAAACAGCTAGCCTGTGTTCAAATGTATTGTCATTTTTACAAATTATACAAACAGATGTTTTGTGTTAGTAACTAACACAATACATCGTGTGTTACTGTTAGAGTCAGACTAGCTGCCCCCCCCAGCAAGAAAGTGAAGAAACATACTTCCCAAAATGTCAACAGTTTTCCGGCTTGATTAAAGTACCCAACAGCCCCTGGAATACCAAAATGTTCTCCCAACTGTTTGTTTTGAAATTCAGTTTTGTACTCTGCAATTCCAAAACATCCACAATGACTTGGAAAGAAATGTGTGTTTTTTGGCCCTTCAACAAAATGAAGATGAATATCTTTAAATCTCAAATAATGTTAAACTCTACATTGGTCCCATTTAGTTCTTTCTTTTTCTCTTCTGTTGGCAACAAAATCAAACCTCATTAGAGTAATGGATTGGACAATTGCAGCAGTTTGTCCTCTAATGCATTTTAAAGGAAAGAAAGCCAAGAAGCCAAAGTCCATTTACTGTGTGTTTGAATTCTGGACACTGGGAACTCTCACTGCTCTTTAAAGGGCATTTTGGCATTTTAACCTGAAGAGTCTCTGGCAGATCTGTGTGTGTGTGTGTGTGTGTGTGTGTAGGAGTAGTTATTATTGTTTGTATACTCTGTATTCTGCTGACAGAACTCAACACTCTCACTTTCACCCTCTTTCTTCCTCTCCTCTCATTTTTTCCATCCCCCTTATCTTTCTTCTGCTCTCATCTTTCCTCCTTTTATTTCCCCAGCTCTCGTCCCCCTTATCCTGTCTCTGTATGTCTGTCTATATCCAGTTGACTAGGCAGCAGGTGTGAACAGACAGACAGGCAGACAGAAAGGGAGCGGCCTGGATTCAGTTTCTTCCTTCTGGATTGTTGTAATTTTTTCCCTGAATGCTTGGCTGAGAGAGGCAGACTGGAAGAAGTGGATTAAGGAAAGACAGACAAGGAAGAATGACAGCTGGAGGGATTTAGTTAATGGATTTTTAATCAAAATGGAATTAAAGACACACACATATAAGGATGTTTGTACTAATAAGCACGGATGTTTGTTAGAGATTTGTATCTATCATCACTACAGCCAGAAAATTACCTCAAAGTTATGGGAAATACGCTTTTTTGCAGATCATTAGATGAAAATATGAAACCACAGCCAGGAGACAGTTAGCTTAGCATAGCATAAAGATTGGAAACATTAGAAAACAAAAAGCCTGGCTCTTTCCAGCACAAAGAAAATCAAACCAAACCAAAAGGTAAAAACGACAATTCCTTTGACCAGAGCCATACTAGCTTTTTCCCTTTGCTTCCAGTCTTTATGCTATGCTAAACTAATCAACACGTTGTATCTCATTTGTTTAGTCTGTGCAAAAACCAAAGTGTAAAAAACATTGTGGTTTTGTTTTTGCAGGTTATGTACCGCACTATTTTTTGGCCGGTCACAGCAACTTCCTGCAGTGCTTCTTTTCTTTATGTTAAGCTACCCTAACCGTCTCCTGGCTGTGCAGTAGCTTCCAGAGGTAGAAGTAGTACAAAGATGTTTTACTTAAGTAAAAGTGCCAGTGTAGAAATGTTCAAGTGAGTCCTGCATCCAAAATGTTACTTGCAACTTATAAGTAGAAAAAATAGTTAGTTAGTTAAAGTTTAAAAGTAATGGCCGATTTGAGAATATATAAATAGTTTATAATTAGTGATATTTAAAGGGTGAATCACTCTAATCTATTAATGTGTGATTTGCTTTAATGGTAAAGGTGGGGTTAATTTTAAATACTTCATACTGCTGCTTTATACTACTACTGCTGGGTAGCTTAATCTATAATAATAAATCCAAATTTATTTGTCGATTATGTTTTATATTAATAATCTCAATCTAGTAACTACAGCATTTGAAAGCCATCAATAAAATGGTTTGAACATCTGACTTAACTAAGCGTAGATATAGAAAAGTTACGGTGACATTTAAAAATGCTGCATGACAGGATGCAGGGTGCTGCAGTCATGAAACTATTCAAAGGAGAAACTGTGATATAAATAGTGTCTCATGCTCGGTTGATCGCTGCACACTTCCCCCAGTGGTGGGAACGCCAGGGAGTTGGTACAACAGACGCGAGACGGGTTTGACTCAGCGCTCTGACAGACGGAGGAGGCTGACATGTGATAAAGACTGACAGGGACAGAGACAGAGAGTTCTCAGGTGTAAAAAATATTTTAGATGTGCTGGAGGTGAAGATCGTATCTGTTTGTTTATGTCTGCACCGAGCACACACATACACATCTGTACAATGTGTGTATGTGTTGCTGTGGTACCTGTGCCAGACTGTGGTTACTTTAGATCCGAGCACTGTCCCCGGAGGCTGAGAGGTTTGTTTATGTGTGTGTTTTCTAGTTACTTACCAGGTCCATGCTCCTGTGTGTAGCTGGGCGAGTGGTTGCTGTGGGTGTGCAGGGATTGCGCCCTCTGTTGGCGGGCCGAGTCGCAGGTCTGGTTGGGATGCCAGGCCTGTTTGCAGTGGTAGCAGAACTCAGCGCCGCAGCCTTCTCTGCGACACACCAACCTGGGACAGCTGGCACAGCCCGAGGCGATGACGGCAAACCTGATAGCAAGTGACAGACAAAGTGGGACATGTCAAATCATGAAGTCAGGAAAAAAACACAATGTTCGTTGATTATTTTGAGACAGTTGACAATCCTACAGTATAGTAGCTAAAGCTCTATTGAGCAGAATTATTTATGTTGACATTGAATCATAAGACTAATAGTATTGCTGATCACACTGAGAATCAACCATTTGGCTGCCCCACATTTATACGTCTGAACATCAGCCAGACACCCACATCTACAACTATGGGAAGCTATCTTATTAGCAGAATTGCACAATCCAAATTTATATGACTCTAACAGAGCACTTCTCTAGAAAAGAGATGCGTCAGGGTCATAACACCTGGGTACAGCTGATGATGTTGCTAGATGGCAAACATAAGGAGTCACCAGTTATTACAACTCATCCTGAGGAGGACAAACTTCATGGCAATCCATCCAATAGTTTTTGAGATATTTGCACTTTCTGCTATGATGCTAGCCAAAGCTAGGAACATGGCTCACTGCTGATAGTTTTCTGAGTCTTTCTGTCCCCTAGAAGTCAAAAATTGCCTAATCTCTAAACTTAAATTATTTAATTTGACCCTTTTTCCACACTGTACAACTGTATCAGAGTAACACATTCAAAAACAAGCCACCAAGTTTGGCAACATACTACTTAAAGGACCAGTGTGAAGGATTGTGTGGAGTGTTTGTGATTTCAAACCCCTCTACCCAAGTGACTGGTTTGTCTGTTCTGGGCTACTGTAGAAACACCTCAGTAGAAAAAGAGTCACTGCCTCTGTAGATAAAAATGGCTAATTTTAAGGTAAAGAAAACACGATTCCTGAATTCAGTTGAGTATACACTAATGAAACCATACCTATGAATATCTATTCCATTTCTGCCAATAGATCCTCCTTAATGGACCGAGATGTAACTACAAAATGCAGCTAACTGTTAACTTTAGTTTCTAAGAGACGTAGATTTCCAATATGGCCACTAATGGGCAGATTACAGGCTGAAAGCTCTCTGTAGACCGAGAGGAGAGAGACAAGGTTTGATCAATGGAGTAATCACTTAGTAACAACATGGAAAGAGGAGCGGAAAAAGACGTAATGAGGTCAATCAATATTGATTTCACAAAGTTCAATATTGAGAAAGGAGACAGAGAGGAGAGTGTTCACTGTGGCCAGGTGTGTTAATACAGCAGGGATGGAGTTACTCTGAGTGGCCTGACACAAAAGTCGTGTTTAAAAACAACACATTCAAAAGATTAAACCAGCAGTTAATTTGTGTGAAATTTTAACTTTAATTGCATGGACCATGTTATGCAGGGGAGGACAAAATGGGAAAATCCACATTACTGGTTATGGATTATTTTTGGACTCAATAAAATAAGAGAAAAAAAGAAACACGACAAAGTAGCAAAAAAATGTTCATAAATCCTGCAACATTAAGATATCCCCTGAGAAAATCACTTGTTCCTTGGCCTGTGGCTTAACTTCAATTCCACTGAAATTCCTTATGTTTCTGGAATATCCTGCCAACAATCAAACACAGACACCCAAAACTAATATAGCTTTCCCTGTGGAGATAAAAACCAACAAAGCTAAATTGTTTTCTGGTGACTTCATGAAGAATACATATTCTCAATGCAACTACACCAACTACACTAGACCATTCTTTTGTTGTGTACTGAAGTTAGGCCAGCAAACGTCAAATAATGGTAAATATAGCAAAAAGAGTGGCACTTTGTAACAGTAAGGACAAAAAAAGGCAGTTAAAGAGAGGGAGAGAGACAGAAATATAGGCTGTCAGTCACTGAAGAAATCACAAAGGAGGCCAGTCATCAAATATTGTCACCAAGCTAAGTGGGAGAAAACATGTTGGAGGAGTGATAACAAAAGCAGACAGGCATTTTAACATTTTGTGCCTTTTTTCTGCCCTGACAAACAAAGACGATGCCAGTTTTCTGCACGGATGTTCAAGTTATACTATTAAAAGGAAGAAGAGCCTTGAAGTAGCGATAACATGACAAACTTGTAATTGTTTTGGCACGCCTCCAACATATCGGCCCTAACTTGTCCCTCATTACCACCTCTTCAAATGCCGTGACAGGCCTGTTTATAGGACGGAATACATTAACTAATATCAGAGGAGACAGCAGTTTGGTTTCTCAGGACAAGATGAGACAAGAACTGGCATTCCTGTGGAGACACTTCAGCCTACATCTGTGAAGATTTTGGCACCACTTCTGTCTCAAAACATAGATCTACAAAAAACCCTTAAATAACTGTATAATATTCCGAGAAACAGTTTTGCATAATTTTTGCCAACATCAGCGCTCTAGTTCAAGCTCGCAGAAACAGATCAGCAGAGTTTCAAATGATTAATCAACGAGCTATTCACAGAAAAGCAATTTTCTTAACCATTTCCCTTTTTAAAAACCGCTGTGTGAAAACCCCAGTTTTCCTTTTTGCCAAAAGCCCATTTTCATCACCGTGTCCGCCTGTGTGGTATTGTGGCGCCCAGCGCAGAGCGCGCCGTCCACAGGGAGGAGGAGAGGCATGAACAGGTGGGATGTTCAATCACATGAGGCAGCGCAAAGAGAAGACTGAGTTTGTTTCTGGCATTCAGCTTTTTTGTGCTAACATGCTGAAGTTTAGCAGATGTGATGCTTACCATGTTCACCATCTTAGTTTAGCATATTAGCATGCTAACATTTGTTCAGCTGAGGCTGATGAGAATGCTTAGATTTGCAGGGAGTATTGGACTGTATTGACTTGATGATCATCAAAGGGATTCAGTTCTTCCTGAGGTGAACATGAATTTCTGTAACAAATTGTATTTCAGTTCATCCAAAACTTGTCAAGACGTTTATATCAAAACTACAAATGTGAACCTCATGGTTGCACATGAAGGAAATTCAGAGGATAACCAAAGTCATTTGGATTAATGCCAATTAATCCATCAGTTGTGGAGATATTTCAGTCTGGACAAGCTCAGTGGACAGATAGACCAACTGACTGACATTAACATCCCTAGCTGTGCCACTATAACAACAACCATAGAACTTGAGAGACATAGAGCAAACGTGTGTTTGTGCTCTTCATCTGGCTAACTCTGGACTTGTTGCGGTACAAAACACATGTTGGCACGACAGATTTTTCCTGGGAGAACATCCCACATCAGTGCTGTCTCATGATTGGTGGACTCCGGTGAGGCACTGAAAACAATTTGTGCTGACATTTCTAGGATGGGGGAGGAAGAAAAGGATAAACAGGAGGAACAGAGATATAAAACAAAAGGACACACAAGAGGGTAAGTGGGGCATGTGAGATCATGTAAATGTGAAATGCAACTAGACAGAGTCAGAGAGAGAGACGAAGGAGAGGCAGAGGAGTTTTATAAGTGCTGACATGCTGCGTGTTGAGAGGAAACGTGCACAGACAGTCCTGTCAGTGTTCAGCTCCACCAAGAGCCACCTGGGAATCCTGCTGAGCCTGTAAAGGCAATGTTACACACAGATGCACTCTAATAGCAGGCTGTATTTAACACCAGGATGAACTGGACCTGCGTCAGTCTGACTTGCATGACAAACATGAAAAACACACGCACACATTACGTGTCAATCAACAACAAAGGCACAAAATTCAGAACAATGACACAAACACACACACACACACACACACACACACGCGCGCACACCGAGTCCAGAGAGTTCGTATTGATCTGTTTAATTAAGTCTCAACTCCTGTTACCCCTGGCAACGCTCCCTCTATGCCGCATCGATAGTCGCCATAGCAACTGACAGCTAGCGGAGATGGCAGAGAGGGCCACTCTTTGTTCTCACTGGATACTCAGGGTCGACAATCACACAGGGCGAGACCTTATTGGCCGGACGGGAAGAGCTGGTCACAGGTTAACAATCGTGTTGTTATGCTGGTTAAGATGAGAAGTCAGATAGATTTTTTGAAGTGGATCATTTTCTTTCTTTTCTTTTTTTCCGGCGAAAAGAAACTGAAGCCAAAAGACAAAGGACCTAAATGTTTGTTCTGTATGTGTCACAGTTTTGGTTGTAGATATCCATCTTAAGTGGTGCTGCAGCCAAGTGAGCTTCCCTGATTTTTATCAAAGTGCCTATGTTATCATATTTTAAGATTTTGTTTTTAAAAGGTTGAAGCAGTTTGAATCATTTTTTGGCCTCTTAGGGACAAAGCCAAAGACAAAACATTCACATATTATCTCCTTATAATGTTAGTACAGTCATGTATTAGCAACCAGCTGCTTATTCACACATCCAGCAGAAACAAAGCAACATTATCATTCATTTGGAATTGTGTTATGTCTACCTAATGAAGTCCAATATTCACTCTGCTTTTAGCTCTCCAACCCACTGTTGGGAAATATTGGACTATTTAGCTGCTAAATGCTCCACTATGTTCATCTGCTAAGTAATGCGTCTGACTGCTGTTTGGTGCTGAGCAGTTAGCGTACACTGGGTTTTTAGAGCGCGATAGAGAACAGCACACAGTTGATAACGAGTGAAGAAAAGCAGTAAAGTTGCTGAGAAAAGCAGTAAAGTTGCTGGCCGTAAAACCAAAACAATTGACCGAAAGACGGTAAAACGCTGCATGGAGCTAAGAGGAATTGCAGCGACCCTTCCACATTACAAATAGTCATGTGATCATTGGTAACAGTGGCTCTACACTGTTTGGAAACCACTGCATTTGCATATACACTGATGCGTGCTGTCCTCATAAATAAATAAAATAAAATAAAAATGAAACATAAAGAATAAAACATAAGCAGCTATCTCCTCTCAACCTGCTTGGAAATGTCTGCAATGAAAAAAAAAAACCTCTGTTTTTTGTTTTAATGGTCTAATAACCAGACTAGTGAGGATTTAACTATCTGCAGGAACACTGTACAACTATATATATTTTTTTTTATCAGAATCAGAATCAGAAGGTTTTCACATACAAGGGGAATTTGCCTTGGTAAGTTGGTGCATCACAATTAAGCATAGAAAAATGTAAATAAAGATAAAAATAGGGACAATAAGAGGTCAACAAAATCTATTGTTTTGTAATGTATCTAATAGGATATTACTGGGATATAAACAGGCAACCATTGCATTGTGAACTGTATCTGAACTGATTGTATGTTTATCTTTCACTTGTCAGTTACTATCATACACTGCCTACTGGATATCTTTCGAATAAGATAAGACAATAAAACCAGGTTACATTTACATAACTTTCCCACAAGTGGGCCAATATACCACACACACACACACACACACACACACACACACACACCTACACACACTATGACCCATTCTCAGCTATAAACACTCCATTCACAGTTATATTGAAGAAATTCACACCTATTACACAGTTTCTGTGGAAGCAATCTCTCCAGTGACCTACAGATGCCAGGTGTGTGTGTGTGTGTGTGTGTGTGTGTGTGTGTGTGTGCATGCATGCATACAGAGCGGTTTCTCTGTCTCCAGCCTGGCCTGTTTGTGGTGAATAATAATTTGAACTTCTGTCTGATTTAAATAGGTGGTGAGTCACTGCTGGCGTCAGACAAAAGATTATCCAGGTAAATATGTAGGTCAGCAGTCAACCTCGCCTCTTAAGAAACTGTTGATGCAAACACACACTTTAATTTTAGTTCATTTTGATCAGGAAATTGTATTGACCTAAATTTGTCCTGTGTGTGCTTAACTTAACCTTTATAACCTACAAGACTAACAGCAACCAAAATCTATCCCCAACTCCAACGCTATATTTTTGTCTATGGAGGCTGGCTAGAAAGTACAAAGTAGGATCAAACTGTCCATTTTTGAAGTTCATTTTCATCCCTACCATCACCACAACTCATAGATTTATGCTCCTCAGGCTCAGTCTTCCGCTAAACGCACAGTAGCTCTTACAAGAACAAGGAACTGTAAAAACAGAAATGGATGTTCACTGTCACAGTGGTCTGACAGACGGTAAAAACACCAAACCTAATTAAACAGAAAGAAGACAGAATTTGCAATATTCCTCAGAACCCCCCCCCCCCACAACA